TCACGACACTACTTTCCATTTACAGTGGCACCTAAAATGAAAATGGACTTTAATGCTACATACCTTTGTTTTGAAATTATTCTTCGTTGTCAATTAATAAAAAAAACTTCACGACTTAAAATGTACATTTTGCAAAAAAAAGATCCCTATTTATCATGTGACAAATATGCAAACACTAAGGAAAGGTTATAAATTACGTAATTTCCTAAGGGGGTCCACCTATTTATCCCAGTATCACTCCCCCTAAAAATCCTCAGACACATGATTTTAGATATATCAGTCAGTGGAAATGTCACGCCTCAACCATATGACTTGTCTTAATTAGTATTGTGTAACTAACTTGCAGATCACATTTTCATATAGTATAAATAGTAAAACGTTAAAAATTCACAATTTCGGCGTTCATTTTATTCCGAATATTAACTTTTTTATAATGTAGTCTCTTAATTAAAAAAAAATATCATCGTTCAAAAATATTGGTTATATAATACATAAAAGAGAGTTTGTCGTGTAGCTTTTGTATAATCAAAGAGTAAAACTACTCATATTTTTTGAGCAAATTTAAAATAAGAAACGTAAAGTTGATTTTTTTTAGCTTAAAATTAAAATGCTAGAATAAGAGAATAATCCTAGTTATGAAGATTTTTTTTCTTTTGATACCAGCAACTTTTTTCATGATGTAAGCAGCCTTTTTTATAATACCGATGACTTTCAACAAGTGGAAGAACTTGAAACTGAAAACAATTTAAAAAAAGAGTTCAAATATAATGAAGATTTATTTGAACAACTTCTAGTTGATGATAATGATTCCAGTAGCACCACCTCATATTCTGAATGTGATAAATATGACGATAAACTCAAAGAAGGAGAAGGAAAAGATTTTAATAATTGATTGAAGAAAATGAAATTATTTTAGATGAACCTGAAATATCAACTCCTAATGTTTCTCAATGTAATCTAATCTCGTGTATAATTATTGATTATATACAAGGTGAATTGAAGACATGTGGTTCAACATACTGATTACGAAAGTTAAGAAATTTATTTAGAACTTGGCAGATAGATAGAGAGGTAGTCAATAAAGTTAATAAGGATTATTTAAGTTTGGAGGTTTGTGATTCCTATTTTTTATATGATCAAAATCAATTACATAATAGTAAAGACAAACAAAAAAGACAACCTGAAACTTCTATGATTCAGAGGTATCATTGTATAGGATGTGATTATTATTTTATAATATATAGTCGTGAAAGAGGATGCATCAATCATTTATGGATTTTTAATGGACGTGATTTTCTTATACCTTGTAATTACCCATTTTATTGTAATGTATTAAGAGAATATAATCCTCTTTGTTGTCGAACAGATGAGATTAAAAGACCTAAATATATATGTATGGAATGCTATCAAAAGAATGGTGGTCATGTGCATATACGTCTTGGTCAAGAACGAAAAGCTACAAATTGTATAGGAGATAAATTGCATAAAAATGATATCACATCCGTGTTGAAATTGGTTGTCAATTGGTTATTACAAATTTCAGAACAAACAGATGAACAAATAAAGAATTCAATATTAACAAAAATCATAGCTGTGATAATACCATATGTTTTACTTATCCCTTTTACCCTAAATAAATCTACTTTTATTCCTCCAAACGAATCTGCAATACAAAATAATGATAGTGAAATTAGACTAAGTTTATTTATGATTAGAATGCTTTTCATA